GTGATGAGCTCCGCAGTAGCAGAGCGCTTCAGGCACAGATAAGACAGAAAATAGAGAACATGTGCGGACAAGAACAATCATGTGTTAATTATAGTTTTTTGTTGCGCCACTTTGAGAATGGACCGTGCGCTGAACGCAGCAGCCTGGAGCGCACCAACGATCATCGCTCTGCCGCTCTCTGTGCTTTCAGTTCAAAAGAGTCCATGAATGATGTAATATAGATGGAAAACTATTTTCTGGGTTCCCTGGATGTGTAGGCTATTCTGCTCTGGATGTGTAGGCTATTCTGCTCCCCCATAATTCGATCCCTGCTCCTGGATGAAAAACCGGACATTTTCATCAATACAAGACCCCCCCACCCCCCACCCCCGGATGCCCGGACAGAGAGTGGAAAGTGGACATGTCCGGGGAAAAGAGGATGTATGGTCACCCTAGTTTAATATGAAGCGGGAGATTTCAAATACAGTATTTTGCTCGTGCCCTTGCTGCCCTGGGCCCTTTAGAGTTTGTGGAGCCCTGGGCAATTGCCCAGTTGCCCATATGGTTAATCCGGCCGTGCGCATACATGTTTTGTATATACATACATATTTTCCCCTCTTCAATTACTAATGCAAACAAAACAGAAATGGTTCCTGTGAGTCCCAAATTCTCTACGACAGAAGATCATGAAAGCATAGTATCAGCATGGATGATATCTAACTTCTCCACGTGTGTCAGAAAAGGCTTCCATGTGTCATAAAATTTCTGAGCACATGCTCCTGTAGAATAGCGGATCTTCTCAAGTGTCAGGTGGTGTAAAAGGTCAATGACCCACATCTTAAAGGTTGGAGGGTGTACATCCTTCCACCTGAGAAGTACTAATCTTCTGGCAATAAGTGATGCAAAAGCTATTATAGTCTTTGCGTGTCGGTTGTGATGAGTGTCTTATGTAATTACTCCAAATATCACAGTAATGGCAGAGTGTTCTATAGATATCTGTAAAACATCTGATAAAGTTTTGAATATTGCACACCAGAAGTTTTTTTTAGTTTTGAGCAAAACCAGAACATATGTGAGAGGGTAGCTGGTGTTTGTTTACATCGATCGCAAATAGGATCGATATTGGGTAGGGCTAGCCTAGTGTACTAGACCAAATTCTTGCTTTGCAAAGTTTGGTCTAGGCATGCTCCATTGGAACCTCAGCAGCTCCTACCAGGACTCTGGCTGGCCAATCACAGCTCTCTAGAGGGGTTTCAAACACATAAAGAGCTGTGATTGGTCCATAATGGTGGGCCAATCATAGTGCTCTATCTGCTTAGTGAACAAATCACAGAGCTTTATCCGCTTTGTGGGCCAATCAGGGCACTCTATATGCCTGGTGGGTGGGATGATGCAACAGAGTGAAACAAGAGTATGTCACATTCATTGTCCAGTGGAATGTGGAGATCATTTGAAAGACAACGGTAGAACCCGCCCCACAACCGAGAGCCGTCAATGGAGCATGGCCAGACTAAATAATACATTTATTTAGTCTGGCTTGCCAGGCTAGGGTAGGGCTGCTCAATTAATCGACTTTTAATCACAATTACGATCTGAGTTTTGAACGATTATACAGACAAAACAAGCCGATTATTTGCTCCTCCCACTTGCGCTGCCCTGAGTTGCAAATGAAGCGCTCCTCCCACAGTGTTGCCAACTTAGCGACTTTGACGCTATTTCTAACAGCTTTTCAGACCCCCTTCTTGACTTTTTAAATCTTAAAAGTACCTAGCGAACACCTCAGAAACATCTCTGGTAGCCCTTAGCTACTTTCTGGATAACTGTCGTTGACATTTCCTGCAGGTTAGCTAAACACTCCACCTGCGCTCCGGACCGTTCTTCAGGACATTAGGAAAGGGAATGATGTAGTAATGTGTCGGTCGCTAAAGAAACGGCTCTCAGAGCCGGCTCCCTGTTGGAGTAACCAGAGTGAGTGACACACACCGTACCTGTGGGCTCCTGAGCCACTAAAAACAGCTAAATGTGCACGTGCGGCGTGCTAAACACACGTGCAGCTTGCCCCTGATTGCTGTGAGACCGGGTTGGGGGGTGCAGCTGTGGTTGAGACAATTATAGCATTAACTGATGGACTTGTAAATAAATAGTTTATAAATAAGGTAGAAATAAGTTCCTCACGCTGATAACTAATCTCTCTGAGGTCACGGTGCTAGTGCACTCTCCTACAGCACCTTGACACGACTCAATAAATGTTATGCAACATTTTGTGAACATCAATTTATTTGCATTTATTTGTTATAAATGCCACTGCATAATTCTTGCTGTCAGTATTTGCAAGATATTGGTATTTGGGTCTGTACTGGTTAGACTTAAATGAGTTAAACCAAGGTCTATAGCCCTTGGGTCATAGACCATGAGCTATAAGTATATTGGTCTTTTTTTACTGGGAATCAGGAGTTCTTTTAGTGATCATCTTGTTTCTTGTTTATTTTTGCCCTGATTGTGCCCTGAACAATTTTATGACTGAATAAAAACAAAAACAAAAAATCAACATGAATTGAAAAATCGTCTTAAATAATCGAGATCTCAATTTCAGTCACAATAATCGTGATTAAGGTTTTTGCCATAATCGAGCAGCCCTAATATTGGGTATAAACCTTGCTGGTTTAACCTTAGACCAGTGGAGGCGGTGCAGAATATTGAATTGAATAACTGTGTGCCGCAGACAAATTGAAGAGGTATGCATTCTATCTAAAGCCTTTCCCCAAGTTTCTTCAGGAAGTTCTAACCCCAAATCATCCTCCCATTGCTTTCTTAATAATGTTGAGGGTTCCAGATTATGTGTACTTAGTAGTTAATAGACTTTCCCAATAGTCCCCTTGGAACCTTGATTAACTCATTCACTGCCATTGATGACTAAAGTCATTTGCATTTGTTTACTGTGTGGGCATCGGAATGAGCCCCCGCACCGTGAGAACAAACAACTCAGCTCTAAAGCCGATCTTCGTCCACATACGTCACATGCCACGTGATCAGGAAGCAGAAAATCCATGTGTTAGGAGATCGTTTTGGGCCGCTGCTGTAAAAAAAAAGTGAGGCGCGAACCGGAAAAGCTTCTGCCGATCACAATTCGACAACGGATTATGAAAGAATGGATAAAGCTCGAAATGCGCGGATTCTTCCTGATGTAATAGGTGAGTCCCCGCTTTGTTTTGGTTATTTTGGCGTCGACATCATCCTAGCGTGCAACATGTGAGTCTTAAACAACAGTAAAAATGGTGAAAAATGCTGGAAGCGAAGGGCTTTACCGATCAGCAAACGGATGGCAGCGAATGAGTTAAGTCTCAAAGTGACATCCAAGAGGGAGTGAGGTGGCTGCGATGGAAGATGAGTAGATGATGCTGTCATAGAGCTGCAAAGTTGTAAGAATCTAAAGAACTGCGACCTTGGGATGTAAATTTTAACCTTAACTGATCAAAAGATGCAAATTTTGCATTGACAAACAACTTTTCTTTTGTGGTAACTCCTCTACTGGTCCATTCATTGGAAGCTATATCTAGTTGATGGTTGATGACATAAATTGATGGTTTTTAACTATAGGAGCACAGACTGGTAGATCCCTAAGGGAAAAGGCTCGTCTGAACTATATCCAAGTTTTTAAGGAGTGTTTTACAATGAGATCTGGGGTGAATTTAGATATGGGTTCCAAAAGAGGAAGTTTAGAGCAAGGTAGTGAATATACGTAAGGAGGTTTGAGGCCAAGTTAAATGTTCCATTCGCAAACATTCTGGTGAGAGATTATTAGATGGGAACTCCTTCCAGTACAACACTGATTTGATATTAGAAGCCCAATAGTAATACTGAAAGTTTGGGAGTGATAAACCCCATGTTGATGGTGTCATTGTAAAATTCCTCCAAAAAAAATCGTATAGTGAGAGGTGGTTGATCAAAAAGTGTGCTTAGTCAGTTTTTGCTGGAATATAGTGCCAAAAGACAACTTTTAAGCCAAATTTAAGTAAAGCAGGTTTCTCTTGCTGCCTACTCAATCACCTGCTCACTAGCGCCCCCCAATGTTTGTCATTTTTTAACATATCGTATTGGTTTGATAAATAACACCGAGCCGATATTAAAAAACAATATTTTTTCCATCTCGTCTCCATTTGTTTGGCTGTTTCAGAGGGTGAGGGGGTGATGTGTAATTGTTTAGTCTTGTGACAGTGATTGTAATCATCTCAGAAGCGTAAGTGTGTCTGTTGTGTGTACATAATAACGTAAATTCAGCTTGAATCATTTTCATTATATACAAAATCTGCTGATTTTCGAAGCATTAATGTCAGTTTATCGGTATTGGCAAATATCGGTTATCGATCATAACAGTGATCTCAATATCAGATATCTGTATCGGCCCAAAAATTTCAGATCGGTGCATCACTACTTTTTTTAGTAAACTGCTCCACGCTGGTCCCTTCCTGTCCTGTCTTCCTCAGCCTAACCCTTCTGTCTCACACACAGAGGCTGCAATGGGCTGCTGAAGCTGAAGGGCTAAAGTTGTCTCTCTACATCACATCACAAGATATAACATAAACATGTAGCTTCTTATTAAAAAATACAGATTTGTTGGATTACATCCACATATTAACAAATTGTGCAACCTAGTCATTGGTTATTTTTGGCCCTGTTTGTTGTTGCAGAGAAAAACGCTTTTGGTTCTATCTCACCTCCATATGCTGCCAGCTCTGTGGCTGCATCAGCATAGTACCATGATGACTACCGATGAGTAAACAGTGCATTTTGCAGCATCAGGATATGAGTGTTATGGCATATTATGAAATAATATATACAATATGACTTAGAATAATATAATTAATTAAATCATAACGGAGGGATTAATACAATGATTATACATTTCTAATGAATTCATTAGTTAGAACCAATCTTTTTTTAACATTTCAAAGCAACTGACATGTTTACAGAATCACACAGATTACACACATCAATACTCAGTTTGCTCAAGATATCCTTACCTTGTCTCGGTCTTCTACCAGATCACTGAGTATATCATCAGGGTCCAGAATCCCCCCGTCGCAATACTCGACATGGTGAGTCCGAACCAGGTATTCTCCTTCCTTTAAAACAATACACAACAACTTTAGCTTCACCGAGTGTGAACAGACCTAAAAGCTGGATGCATTTCAGTCTACGAAACAAGGATCCGCAACCTTTACAATCTAAAGAGACGTTTCCCTAGCCTAGAAATCTAGACAAGTTGGTCTAGCCATGCCTAATCGGAACATCAGCTGACCTATCACTAGTCCGTACAGTCTTGTGCCTTGCCAATCATAGCGCTCTATTAGTTTGGTGGGCCAATCACAGTGCTATATTGGTTTAGTGCATGTTTAGTGCAACTGAGCGAAATGACAAAGATGGCGGTGGCTTGTTTGAAACAGATTTGGCATCAACTTTAGACTGTTTGGGCTGATAGAGCACTCTGATTGGCCCATTAAACCAATATAGCACTGTGATTGGCAAACCACACTGATAGAGCGCTGTGATTTGACTCAAGAGCAGATGGAGGTACTTAAGTCCTTCATTTAGATTTTCAGATTTCAGATTTCAGATTTCAGATTTATTGGCCAAGTAAAAGTACATTTACAAGGAATTTGTCTTCGGTAGATGTTCGCTCTCTAAAACATACAACAACCACAATACATGAGAATAAAAGGATATATTCTCATCTTCTCTAATGAAGTATGGCGGACTGTCCCATTGACCAACATCCATAGGGGTGAGTCACGTGTCACGTTGCTTGGTGTCCAATGGCATGTGGAGACATTTTGAAAGATAGCCATAGATTCCGCCCCAACTGAGATCTGCCCATGGGTCATGACCAGACCATTTATTTGGATATGAATGGCCAAGGTACAGTTTCCCCTCCCATTCCATTTAAACGAAACATGTCTGTAGTTAAAACTGTCATAGAAAAAATACATTTTAGAATTTTTGATAAATATCCATGGAAGAATATTAGGGATACAGGAAAAAAGCTCTCTTTTACAGAATTCTGAGAATAAAGACAGAACTCTGATCAGAGGAACTGTCAGAACTGAGATGTAGGTCCAGATTCCTAAAGTCAGAAAGTCCTTTTTCAAAACTATCTACTACAAGGGATTGGTTGTCTCTTTAAAAAAAGACAACAAAAATAAATAAACAAAGTTTTGCAGAAAAAATTTATTTCCTGTGGCATGTTTATATGAAAAAATTAAATCATAGATCTAAAAATTATTACTAGTACATTTAGTGTTACTGTAGCGGAAATGAAATGCAATTATTCCATGAAATCAATGACAAGTTGATTAAACCTGAATATTTTATTTTATCTGTTTTTAAATTTGTAAAAGAGGAGTTGGATCAAAATAAGCTTTGCTACCTACTCCTTTTGAACAATTGCTGTGTGTTTTATTCTATTTTGGATGTGGTTCTGAGTAATTTGTTTTATTTTATATTTTTGTTTTTTCAAATCTTTGTTTAAATAAAACAGAGAAAGAAAAAGAGAAATTTGTATTATTTATATTGAAAGCCATTGTGGAACGTCTAAAGAGGCACAGGTTGCAGACCATTGCTCTAAAGAAATGTTTTCATTGTTATCTAACAAAATTTGAAATAAGCTACAATAAAGACATTGCTTGTGTTAGGATCAAACATTACCAAAGGTCTCAGTATTCACATAAATAAATTATTGAGCTACATTTGACACAGTAACCTACAACACACAGTAGTGCTCAAGCCTGAAGACAGTGGTATTATGTGGCATGCTTTCATACATTTTTCAATGAATACACAATAACTGCATTGTGCAAATTACCAATCTAATAAAAAATGGCAAAGTATCCCCAAGGCAGTAATCATTCTGTTAGTTTGTCACCCAGTAATGTAATGATCCTCTACTATTTGCAAACAAACTGGATCACAAAGCAGCAGAAAGATGCTGCTCTGTGAATCAGCCAAAACCTGTACCTGCAGGTCAGAACTGCACACAAAAAACATATATTAGTATTGATTTACAAAACATCTAAGATGCTTATGTCTGATTTTGAACAAAGCAACTTACAGACATTTTATTAAGACCTCAGGAAATGATGTCAGCTTTAAAAAAGGACAATGGCACTACTTCTTTATAAAATAATTAAATCATCGCTCACAGCAGCTACCAACAGCCTGTTCTACCACCCACCAACTCCTTCCTGCTTGTCATTAATAAACCTCCTCTCCTCTTAAATACCCACCTCTCTCATCTCGTCTCCCTCCTTTGTTTCTCTCCATCATACATCTTTCACATCTTTCTCTAGGTGGCTTACAGATTACAGCTCTCGCCTGGCCTATTCTCTTTTGCTCCTAACCCCTTTTCTCTGCTGTGTTGGGCCTGTGATTAATGACACTGACACTGTACCAGACAGCTGACTACACAGAGTTGGTTGTTCAACAACATATTAAGACAACAGCACACGCATACACCCTCACACAAAGCACACAGCCTCGGGAAAGGTATCCATCAAAACATTACAGGGAGGTGCTTCATTAAATCATTCTTTCAGGGTCAGGTTCTATGAAAGGGACAGGGCACTATACGTCTCCCGTGTGCCCCTCTACAGGCCAGACCACATTCAGCATGTCTTGGGCCTCCATTACACATCTCACAAAACTAATTGAATTCTCTTTTACCAAATTTATCAATCCACACTGACATGAGGGAACAAAATTATTTTTTTTATGATTTACCTTTTTCCCGTTGCACATTTAAAGCTACATATGACTCAGGTATGCATCGAACATTACTGAATACCTAATTATGCAGTAAATGTCATATTTCTAGGTTAAATATCCATATTTAGATCCTAGAATCATTAATGTTTTATTTATCCGTAGCAGCGATGAAACAAATACGGTGCTGTTGCATAAAGTTTTGGCATTACATCAACAACCCCATTCCCTTGGTGACTTGCTGCCATTTTTAGGTCATCACCCACTTCTTTTGATTTCCTGTTACAGTAGGAGGAGAAGAATTCACTGGGATACTAGCAATGAGGAAAAAAATGATATAACGTTAGTCAGAAGTCCTGTTGCCCCAGTCCTGGTAAGTTGTAAACATAGATCAGAATCCCGGTAAAGGAAAATCCAAGAGAAGAGTTGTAATCACAGTGATCTGCGGGTAATTAACACTAATTACAATGTTGTGTTGCTTTGTTTTTCTTCTGATACGATAACAGATCATCTAATTTCATTTTTGGAATTGAATTGAGAAAACTTTAGGTATACACATGAGGCAAAGGCAGAATAGGTACAAAATGCTACAAAACCACTGATAAACTATGTTTTATGCAACACTATCTTGGTTTTTGCTGAGTCATTGAGATTGGATTTATACAACAAAGAAAAATCTGTAACTGTGTTTGTTTTCTGTGCATGACTCTAAAATACTAAAATAGAAATAAGAAAATGTGGCGTATGAGATTGTTTAACCAGCAGAGTAGAAACATTAAGAACAGCACAGCAGTGCTCCTTCCTGTTTGGCCAAAGTTAATCCAGATGTCTGTCAACAAACTTTAATTTCCTGGTGACTCCACATGAAAACGGACTAGGCTTGCTTTTTCCACTCTCCCCTCCCACTCTTGGGCACCAAGCTAACTACCTATATTCATTTTTGTTCTAATTTGTTCAAACAGGTCAGTCATTCTCTCAGAGCTAATGCTTTGCATATTGCTGTTTAGGGATGTGTATTGGTGAAACTCTGGAAATACGATACGAATCACGATACAGGGGAGACGATACAATATATCACAATATCTTGCGATACATTCAGTCAGACGTTATTAGCGTTTTTTTAACTGAATTTATTGTAGGAATATTCCATAATTAGTCCAAACTGATACTTAAAATGTTTAACATGAAGTATTAGGCGTGTAACGGTTCACGGGTGAGTGTTGAACCATTTTGATTCGGCCTGTTCGGTTCGGTCCACTTGCATACCATTTCAGTTTATTTTTTCCGTTAAATAATGAATTTTTATTTGCGTGGTTTATGTGCCGCGGATAAAAGGTCCTAGGCGAGTTTCCACACAGAAGCTGTAATGAGTGACGCATGATGGCCGCACGCGCCCGATCTCCATTTAAAAAATGTGATCTGCAAATTCTGATCAATGCTTTTCAGAGCGGATCTAACCAGCTGGTTGTCGCTGCTACCGTGGAGCCTATAGAGCAGGGGTGGGCAATCCCAGTCCTCGAGGGCCGCTGTCCAGCAGGTTTTAGTTGTTTCTCTGCTTAAACACACCTGGTTTGAATCTACTAGTAATTAACAGGCTGCTGCAGAGCCTCATGAGCTGCTGAACAGGTGATTCATCCAGGAATTAGGTGTGTTGGGGCAGGTAAACAACTAAAACCTGCTGGATAACGGCCCTCGAGGACCAGGATTGCCCACCCCTGCTATAGAGACACTGAACGGAGCGTGGCGTCGCCCCTCTCTCCCTTCTCTCACACTGTGAAGGCACGCAGCGGCAAAAATGTAAACAAACACGTCTGCTGAACTTCTCCTCTGTGACAATTGATGTAAAGTTTTCATCCTACAACGAAAAATAAGGCATGCAGGAAGCTCGTTACTTAATACAAGTTTTTAAGAAGAAACTCTGGGCGGTGTGAGGTGAGTTTTTAAGGCTCGCTGCAGAAATAAAAACAAAGAGCATCAACTATATGAGCGTGACACTCGTAGCTGCGCAAATAACCTGTGAAATAATTAGACATCATGCTAGATAAGCAGTCTGTGATGACACCTGGTTCTGCTCATTACAGGAGCAGTTTAAGATATTAAATTAATAAATAAATATAATAATAATAATAGAGAAAATGTACTGAACCGAATTCTTCAAAGCACTGAACCGAACCGAATGCAATTTTAGCATACTGTTACACCCCAATGAGGTATCTTCACAATAATAGAGGATTTACATTTTAATGGTGGAAGCCAAACCTATTAAACACTGCTGCCAACTAGTGGTTGGCATTTGAATCACACTAAAAGAAAAGAAAATACACAAATGTGTAAATTCTTCCCAAAATTAGATACACAGCTTTTGAAT